TTCATCAAAAACAAACAGAAAGTCATGCCATCTAATTTTTTCTGCTATACATTACGCGTTTCTCATCGAATGAACGGTGCAAAGGTTTTCTTTTACGTTTTTTTGCCGTTTTACAATCTCTTTTCAACATCCAACAGTAGTCAGCCAACATGCATGTATCCCATCTTCCTTGATAACGCTTTTCCATCACTTTCACATCTTGATGGAAACGTTCACCTTGTTCTTCACTATAATCACCACAGTTTTCAGGGAAACTATCCAAATGATTGTGTAGAAAATGTAATTTGTAATTCATGAGACATCCCATCACCCTAAAGCTCTCCACCATTTGAGATACAATTTCTTTGTAATTGGGGCTTCTACGATTACCCAAAAAGTTTGCGGTAACGTCCTTGAAGCTAAGCCATGCAGTTTGTTCGATGCTGGTCATGAAACTAATAAACTTATCATCAGCCATCATTTTTCTAATCTCTGGACCATCAAAGATACCTTCTTTTAATTTCGCATCCGATTTACTTGGAAATTTGCTTTCCAAGTACTTGAAGCTCTGAGCATCTTTATCTAAAGCCTTGACGAATTGTTTCATGATACCAAGTTTTATGTGCAATGGTGGAATGAGAACTTTTTTAGGGTCAACCAATGGGGTAGCTTTAACGTTGTGTTCTCCAACAGTTAGAGATTTTCTCTCAGGCCATTTATGATCAGTATAGTGCTTTGCTCGATCTCGACTATCCCATAAGCACAAGATACATGGCGTTTCGTAAAACCAGACTGCTGTCCTAACAATATTCCTGAAACTTTCAAATCACCACAAATACGCCATTGATCCTTGTCATATTTAATTTTTTGCAGTATAATTTTGAGATTACCGTATGTTTCCTTCATTGTGGTGGAGTGCGCTATAGGAACTGAGGCATAATAGTTGCTATTGTGCAGTAATACAGCTTTCAAACTTCTGTTTGATGAATCTATGAACAATCTCCATTCTTCGTCTTTATACACATTAGGTTTAATTTCATTCATTAAACCTTTTACGTCTTTACAATATACTATTTTATCACCATCACGATTCATATCTTCAAAGTATGGTTCGAAACTTTTGCTTCTTTTTCTGTAAAAAGATACTCTAGTAGAACTTGCCAACTGATTCATATCTTTCAAACTAGGCTCTCTAACAAGGTCGTTCAGTTTACCTTGAGTTCATAACTTTGTTATTTTTTTTTGATCCGCCGGAAGGAAATCATTGTCATCGTCATCATCGTCTTCTTTAGTTTCTCCATCGTTATCACTTTCGTAGAATTCAACCTTGAATCATCATCCGAGTCATCACTTCTATCCTCATCATTGCCGCCACTTACTTCGGCGTTATGTTCTCAACAATTTCAGATACTTCATAATTTGGGCTTCTGCTACCCCCCAAAAAGTTAAAAATCATATTTATTTCTTTCATATTTGTGAAATCGTACGTTCAACAATTTCCTAAATGCATTAGAGTTTTCTGTATCATGACTAGAGAACTTTTTAGAAAACCAGCATGTATTTGCTAATTGTATAAATGTATGGTGACATGAATGAGAAGAATTCAAATATGAATTTTTCCTTCAAAGTTGCCTTAACCTGCTGCCTCGACAAAAACTGTGACGGTGACACTGCCCTAAATAGGGATGTGTGGGATGATCCGCTCATTAGTTTGTCGAGGTAACGATGCCAGTGGAAGCGCACTGCCTTGCAGGGGGGCGTTAGGGTGTGAGGATGAAGCTGTAGTGTGTCTGACGACGAGTTGACACTGTCCTCGTCAAAGTCGGAAAGCTCTTATACTTAGCCCCGGAGAGGTATAAGAGTTATCACCTCCGGGACAGCGGACTCACCTGCGATCGGACCAGGATCCCTAACGTGCGGGGTTATACTGTCAATCATGGAACATTTACCTTCTACTTCTCGTCATAATTGCAAAAAAAATCGTGATCTTTTTTGTTTCGTCTGTGGAGTATATACTCCTAAAAAATTTCGTCGTGATTTTAATGAACGCCTCAGAAAAATTCACAAATCATGTTTTCAATTAGAGACGGATGATATTATAAAAGAGTGGACTCCAGGTAGCATCTGCGAACGATCTCGTAAAATGCTTTGTAAATGGGAAAAGACAAAAAAACGTGATGATGTCATATTTATTAGCCCAATGGAATGGTATCAACCAGATGGAAGCGAAGATTGCTACTTCTGCAATACTGAAGTTTCAGGATTGAATAGTAAATCAAAAACAAAAGTGAATTACGCTAAAGTCACTTCTGTAAAAAAAGCTGTTGAAAAATCGAGTACCAATGAAGAGCTTTATGTGCTTGAGAAGTTATCCATTGAATCCGATACGAATGATGGAGATCATAATGACGAAGATTGTGACGACATAAGTGATGACAATAATGGCAATGCTACCAATGATGTAGGTGATGATTTGGAAGATGAATCCTATGAAAGTGATATTGATGGAAAAACTGATGATGATGATGAAGATGATGATATTTTCCTTCCAGCGGGCCAGAAAGACAAAAGCGTAAAGTTATGGTCTCAAGATAAACTGAACGACCTAGTTAGAGAGCTTAACTTACCTAAAGATGGTGCAGAACATTTAGCTTCAGCTTTGAAAGGCATGAATCAGTTGGCAAGTTCTACTAGAGTATCTTTTTACAGAAAAAGAAGCAAAAGTTTCGAACCATACTTTGAAGATATGAATCGTGATGGTGATAAAATAGTATATTGTAAAGACGTAAAAGGTTTAATGAATGAAATTAAACCTAATGTGTATAAAGACGAAGAATGGAGATTGTTCATAGATTCATCAAACAGAAGTTTGAAAGCTGTATTACTGCACAATAGCAACTATCATGCCTCAGTTCCTATAGCGCACTCCACCACAATGAAGGAAACATACGGTAATCTCAAAATTATACTGCAAAAAATTAAATATGACAAGGATCAATGGCGTATTTGTGGTGATTTGAAAGTTTCAGGAATATTGTTAGGACAGCAGTCTGGTTTTACGAAACGCCATGTATCTTGTGCTTATGGGATAGTTGAGATCGAGCAAAGCACTATACTGATCATAAATGGCCTGAGAGAAAATCTCTAACTGTTGGAGAACACAACGTTTAAGCTACCCCATTGGTTGACCCTAAAAAAGTTCTCATTCCACCATTGCACATAAAACTTGGTATCATGAAACAATTCGTCAAGGCTTTAGATAAAGATGCTCAGAGCTTCAAGTACTTGGAAAGCAAATTTCCAAGTAAATCGGATGCGAAATTAAAAGAAGGTATCTTTGATGGTCCAGAGATTAGAAAAATGATGGCTGATGATAAGTTTATTAGTTCCATGACCAGCATCGAACAAACTGCATGGCTTAGCTTCAAGGACGTTACCGCAAACTTTTTGGGTAGTCGTAGAAACCCCAATTACAAAGAAATTGTATCTCAAATGGTGGAGAGCTTTAGGGAGATGGGATGTCTCATGAATTACAAATTACATTTTCTACACAAACATTTCGATAGTTTCCCTGAAAACTGTGGTGATTATAGTGAAGAACAAGGTGAACGTTTCCATCAAGATGTGAAAGTGATGGAAAAGCGTTATCAAGGAAGATGGGATACATGCATGTTGGCTGACTACTGTTGGATGTTGAAAAGAGATTGTAAAACGGCAAAAAAACGTAAAAGAAAACCTTTGCACCGTTCATTCGATGAGAAACGCGTAATGTATAGCAGAAAAAATTAGATGGCATGACTTTCTGTTTGTTTTTGATGAATACTACACTACCAAGGTTGTGTGACAAAAGTAACCCCAGATTTGAATTCAGCGACCCCAAAAACGTATATATAGACTGGAGAAAATTGATTTTCTCCATTTTTGCAAATTTGACCTTCATTTGCCCTTGACCTCGCGGGGGTGGGACAAAAGTCACCCCAGATTTGAATTCAGCGACCCCAAAAACGTATATATAGACTGGAGAAAATTGATTTTCTCCATTTTTGCAAATTTGACCTTCATTTGCCCTTGACTGTGACGTGGTGGGGCAAAACTGACCCCGGATTCGGACTCAGCGACCCCAAAAACATAAAGTCTGCATGGTCTGGTCTGTGGGTTTTGCCACTTTTTTTTTTTTGTGTGGCTGTGTTATCAACCCACGTCGTAATAATGCCTATTCGAATTTTATTTTTTTGCGTAACCGCAGAATGACAGCACTCTTACGGCACGGTGTGCGGCACTTGAGACTCGCATTATGCCCGCATTCTGACGGCCCGGGAGCGTCGCTTTTCATGCTCCCACTATACCTGCATTATGACGGCACGCCGTGACGAGCAAATTACAATAAAACTATTTTCAGTCTGTAAAATTTAAGGAAAAGCAAGAAATTTATATTTTTTTTTAAGAAATAAAAGATTTTCCTGTAAAATTTATCAGTATTACAATTGTACAAAAACATTGTATTATTCAAATTCTACAGGGGTACAAATTAGTTTTATGTATTTTTTAGATGGTACAAATTAAGAAGAAGGCATTCATATTTTTTTTTTCAAAATCTTATATTTTTCTGTTGGAAGATAGATTTTTCGCCGCGCATGCGCAGTAATACGTTAATTTGAATTGTTAATATACCATAGGAAAATCTTTTTTTTAGAAAGAGTACAAATTCCAAAAAAGCATTTTTCTGATGGTACAAATAAAAATAAAACTAGTGGAATTTTTTTTTTAAGATATCAATCATTTTTCTGCCAGATGTATGAGTTTTCCGAAATATCATTCTTTCCGCTTTTTTCAAAATTTTAGGGGGGTACAAAATCCAAAATAGCAATTTTCGAGTAGTACAAATTAAGACGAAGCTAATGCTGTATTTTTTTTAAATCAATCATTTTTCTGTCAGGGTCGTTTCGGAAGTATCCAGGGTTAGGTGATTCTGTCAAAACGTTTCGAACAGTTTCCTCACAATTTTCAAGTTTGACCGCAACTTTGGTTTGGGTGCTAAGGCCAGCACCTAAGACATATTTTATTAATTTTAAGGATTTCCAGTGAACGAACCAACAAACGACAAAGAGAAAAGTTGTTGCTATCCTGACGAAATATCTAACGATATAATTAGTTTATCGATTAGCTTAAAGAAAAGGATTCTGGGTGCTAACTTTTTAGACCTGCTTTACGAAAATTTCCAAATAAATTAGTATCTCTTCTTTCCAGAATATTAAATTGAAGAAAAAGTTTCTCATTAATTTACATTATATCAACTTTGTGATAATGGATATCAGTTTAAATTTCAAAGAAGCTATACAATCTATATTACAACATAAAAATATTGGCAATTCAGATAAAAGTAATATTTTGAATCGGATTAGAAAAAAACATTCCTTTGTTACATTGGTTAAACTTACATGTAACCAAATTAATGAATTTTATAATATTATACAGGAAAGTAGAAAAGCTTATCAGAGTTTATCTAAGCTTTTAATTAATAAAAGTTATATATCCTATATAGATAACAATGAGACTGATATTCTAGCTCGAACATTTGAAGATGAATGTTTACAATTATTAGAAGAATTAAAAGAGTGGATAAGTCATTTAGATATACCTCAACAAAATCAGGAGCACAATAAAACAGTTATATCTATTATTGAAGAATATCTGAAAAGTATTAGCAAAATTTATTCCAAACAAAAAATTTTAAAAACCAAACAAACTATAGCTATAAGACAAGTATTTAAATTAAAATCATGGAAAAAACAAATGAATGAAGCTAATATACAACACTTCAAATATGATGCATACAGTAAGAATACTGCTGACAATATTAAAGTTAATTCCTTTGAAATTCAAGAAATTAATGGTGATACTCGTCAAACAATTGATCTAAATCATGAGCAACTAGAACCAAATGATATTCAACTATTCGAAAGTGAAAATGAACAACTCTATAATGAACTCAATACTTTAACAGAAGAAATAAAAGAAATTGAAAATAAAGTAGTGTCAATTTCAGAATTGCAAAATGTCTTTTCAGAAAAAGTTTTAGATCAAGAAAAGAATTTGGAATATATATTAACAACAGTTGCTGGTTCTACTGAAAATGTAAAAGAAGCTAACGAACAAATTCGAAATGCGATTCAAAGGAATGCTGGATTCAGAGTGTGGATTTTATTTTTCCTTATAGTTTTGTCATTCAGTCTCATATTTTTAGACTGGTATAAACCATAGAACATTCCTATAATCATGAAATACACATAATTAAAAATTATATTTGAGCAAGTTTTGATTTTATTTAATAGAGTGCTACAATAAATACTTATTAATAAATAAAACTGGTATGTTGTAATTTATAATAATTGTGCCTTATATTGTTCCATATTTCATTATTGTAAGCAATGTTATATTTATTAATACTTTTTTTAATTAGTTTCAACTTTTGTTACAAAATTTATTAACCTTCAGGTTACCTGAATAACATATATCATAATTTACTATTTAAATATTGTGAACCTAAATTATGTATCAGAAATAAAAATTTTGCTTGTAAATTTTAAAATTATTTTCCAATTTAGATCATGTTCATCCTCTGTGGTTCATTGGATTCAGATATTATCACTACACCTTTTAATAATAATTAAATTCTATTTCATATAATCCTACACCTGTTACATATTTTAAGGTATGAATTAAAAAGCAATTCAGATGATATTGATGCTTTTTTAAATAATATTTTCAAAATAACATTAGATAACAACTTTATTTTTTACACTCGAGATTTAAAATTTAATACAGGTAGAGTAAGATTTACCATTTATTCTTCTAGTTGGAAATCTAATTTAATCAAAAAAGATTATCCTGTTTCTGATAATGCTTGTAATAAACATATACAAAGCTGTTTCTAATAAACATAAACAAAGCTGTTTCTAATAAACATTATGCTTCAATATTACAGGGTCAACTCTAGTCAAACAGTGAAAATTATGCCAATTATAACAATTAAAATTAGAAATTAAATATATACATTTTAAAAGGTCTTATGAATTCATCACAAAAATATACCGACAACAATTAATCTTTGTAGCTTATTTAGCTGGCTATGGTTGAGGAGTTTCGAAATGAGATTTTAAAAATTAGAGGTTTCATCCTTGCTGTTGGATTGGACTTCTCAGTAAGAATCAAACAACCTAACTGCTAGATGTTCCGCAATCAAGTATATAAGATCACTAAACTCATTTCACCCAAGGATGAGCCTTGTACCGGCAATTTCTTCAACCGGAAGCTGAATTTTTAAAAATTAATTCCATGACCACTCATATAGGTAACATCTAATTTTTAAAATCTCATTTCGAAACTTACGAACTATAGCGTGCGAAATGAGCGACAATGATTTATTGTTGTCGACATTTTTTTGTGATAAGACCATTTTAATTTTAGTTAAATTGCTGATTAATTGTGTTTAACTAGTCTTTATGAGTCAGCAGAAGTTCTGGATGAAGCTCAGTGATATTTATGGGCTCTACAATACTGGCGTCAATCTTAAAAAAAAAATTGGAGATTAAGATAATTTCATGTAGTGAGTCAGAAGATACACTCTCCTTCTCCACATGCTTTTAGGCAACTAACATAAAAATCGGCAGTGCTAAAAAATATAATTATTACTTGGCACCTAAAAATCGTATCTCAAAAATCAACAGGCATTGGAAAGAGGAGGTGAGAACCTTTCAAAAACGCTCTTGCAGACTTCCAAAGCATCAAAATGTAGTTCTTTATGACTAATATAAAGAGATTAAAAATGTATAAAATTTCATCTGACATTAGGTTGCTTCTCAAACAGACGAGAACTTAATGCGGATGTCGCATACGATGTATTGCTACCAATCTACGAATTCCAAATAACCTAACTCAAGTCCGCGGCTGTTGGAAACAGCATTACCATTGGCAAAATTCCTCTCCAGGACCCTGGAAAATAGCCTCCCTAGATTCAGTGACTTTTGTTTGCATCGACTGTTCTGTCAATGCCGTCAAAACCTGTTGTGCTGTCAAAACCTTCCTACTCGTGGCTCGTGGCTGCAAGTTGCTGAAAATATGATCAATCAGTTTTTTTATCAATATTTATTGCTGAAAAGTGGTATACTGTTCATAAAAATATATCAGTCTCATTATTAAATTGAAGAATTGGACCGATTTTTATAAGATACGTATCTTTTTTTAACCTATGAATTTTTTTTATTATAACTCCATGTAAATTTACAATCTGTCTCACATAGTGAGACAATAACCAAATGTTTCTACTACTTGACATACACAATACAAATAACAGAACACTCCAGTGAGTATGCTGTTTTTGTCTACAGTTTTTGCATAATTAACTTAATCTATTTCGTCGTTCATCAGTTTATGTTTCTTATGTCTAGTGTTGGTAATCTCTTCCTAGAGCAGTTTGCTAATAAGCAGGGAGTAGGAGAGAAGGAGATAAAACTCTTATGGGTACCGTGGCCAAAAGTGGAACGATTTGAGCGACAAAAATCGCCAGGTCCGCTCGATGGAAGAACGACCCCCTGTAGGGTATGCGATGTTTCATCTCTCTCGGTAGAGGAGAGGGGACACAGAGCGCCGCAGCGGCGAGCGAGAGAACGTCTGGGCACTGCCTCATGGACCGTCATGGTGATAACATATGTATCTTGGTTAATAAATATAGTTATTCACACTCTGACATCCATTCATTCCCTGGAAATTCACACATATACATACATAGGAAGTAGGCCTGCCTAGGAGCCTTTGCTACATTGGTGACCCCGACTCCGAGGATTTTCGAGTGGATTTTCCGATACATGTGGAGAAAACTCCTGCACTCTCGCTGAAGTTTCGTCCTTGTGATTTTGCCGCTCATTCGACGCACACGGGCTTCTGCTTGGTTGGCCGTCCGTCTCACATCGATATTTGCATTTTAATTTTAAGGTAAAATTGCGTTCTCTATAATTTTAAGTGTTTCATCGCGAAAAGTGTTCAAACAGTCAACGCCATTTGAAAAGACAAAAAAGCGATTTCAAAACTTTGGCGCCATATTTAACATAACAGCGGTTCTCAGAACTGTGCTCATTGGCGTACATTCGAAAAGTAGAACTTTTCGCGCTCACTTTTGTGAACCCTGTCTGTGAAAATTTTCACATTTACATATGTTTAATTTTACTCTAAGTATTTAATCACAATCCAAGTGAATTTACGCATTCAGATAATCTTTCGCGCATGTCATTCCACATCACACCTTTACTCGGTTATGTGCCTTGTGTTCATTTCTTTTTCTTAACCGCGCATACAGGCGACTTCTTTCAAGAATTCGACTTTGTAAACACGAGTTAATTTTCAGTGCTTTGTTTCTCGGAAGTACCTAATACGCATATGCACAGGTTAAATACATTCATCATACATATATATAAATATTAACTTTCGTTTTGTGTTTTCGTCACATAGCAATACAGGTTTATGTACATATTCACACAACCTCACATAGTCGTATATGTGCGGTATACTAAAATCAGCTTGCTTTCAAAATTAACTTACAAGGGAAGGCAGGGAGGTGTCCGTCACCGATTTTCTTTAAACTTTGCATACGATTAGAGTATCAAAAAATATTAGACACGTATTTTTTTTTAGCGGCCCATACGATAATTTAGGTGGTAAAAACAGGGTTGCCAATTATAATTATCTACATACGCTTGAAGTGCATAAGTTGACGAGACGCTAAATTCAAATTATTATATCTCGGTGAAAGAAAAAGATATCTGAACGATTCAAAATTCATTTTGAAGGGAAAGACTCATACTTTAAGATATATTAATTAATATAAAAGAAAAAAATTATCTTATGATCTTACATAACCTCAAATATGTGTAAAAGTCGTGTTTTTTGCACTTGAAAAGATTTACAGTGTTTCTTTTGTAATGTTTTTCGTTCTTTCAAATGGGAAACTCAGTTTTTTGGGTCCAATTCGAAAAACTGGACCAAATCTGGCTCAACTTGAAAATTTCAAATGGAAACTACTGTTGCTTATGGCAGATTCGAATTATAGGGGAAATTACACGTTCAAAGGTGATATCAAATTTTACCGAAAAAATTTGTATTTTGAGTCCCAAAGTGGCACCAAAAATAAATACCTGTGGTTTTTGGGACTTTTTGAAATTCACAAATTTCGCTTGTTTTTGTTTCTTAAGTTTTTTCTATTGTTTATTATAAATATTATGCAAATTTTTTTGAAAAATGATTTTTACGAAGTTTTTCTGGCTCAAAAAATAATTTTATTTTAGTTAAAAATTTGTCTGAAAAAACTATTATCAACTAGTTGACAGTTTATTATGATTTCTGTTATTATTATTATTATTTGCAACGATCACCGAAAATCGTTAGACTCGCGCGAGGTTAATGAGCGGCTAAACGAGAGGAGCCGCGTTCGGTTCGCGAGAGAGAGAGAGCGCGTAGAGGCAATGACCGGGAGGGGAGGCTCCGACCGGCAGTATGACTGTGTCACTCAGTCCGCCTGTGTCGACTAACCTTTTCCCGAGCCGTCAACGCGTTTCCTGGTGATAGTGCGAAGCTGAACATTGCGAATTTGAGTGCGTGGGTGTGCTAGCAGCAGCAATAGCAGCAGCAGCAGCGGTAGCAGCAGCAATATCAGCAGCAGCAATAGCGGCAACAGCAGTAGCAGCGACAGCAGCAACAACAACAGCAGCAACAGTAATCGCGGCGGTGCGGCGAGCGGAGAAGCAGCGCTTCAACAGTTGATTGTTCGGATACGGTTGGCCACCGTATCCTCATCGTTCTCGCGGTAGGTGCACCTTCCCCCTTTTTACTGTTGTAATTGGCGTGCGATCCCGCGAAGCGTGCGCGAGGAAATTAGTTGTTGCGTGCGAGCGGTTAGTTCGCGGTAATCGCGGTTTTCTCTCTCTCTCTCATTTAGCGTGTGTTGTCATTCGCGCAAGCGTGCGCAAGTCTCTCGGCAAAACCCCCGTGTAATTAAGTTACATTAATAAAGTGAACGTTAGCCTTTATTTGATCTGGCAATCGTTATTTAGTCTTTCCTTTGTCCGGAGGTCGCGTCTATATTTGTTTACAGTTGATTCGAATTCGCCGGTAGCGTAGCACGAATCACGTGAATATCGGTAGTCGGGAATCGTCAACTTAGGTTCCAGCGGCGGCCGCACGAGCGCTACTAGTAAGGGCGGCAGCGCCGCCAAGCGGTGAGTTGGGGGAACCCAGCTCGGAATAGTGAAGAGACTCTGCGCAGGCGCACTCCGAGACAAGGTAGGTTGCTGTGCTTTGAGCACAGAGATAACAAGGCGTCGTTTAGTAATTATAAAGGTACGTTTAAGAGATTTTAGACTAAACGGCAGCCTGTTACATGGCGCCCAACTAAAATTAGGACTCACACACGAGGGAATTTGCACAAAAGAGAGAGCGACGCGCGGGAGAGAGAGACGTTTGCGCGCGTGCGTAATAAGGTGCGAGCGGGTAAAATAACGCGTGGCTCGTTCGGTACGTGCTCTGCGGTAGGGGAAAGACGCCTCTCCGAGCCAATAACACCTGCTTTTGTGAGCCGAGAGCACA